CACCTTTTTCTTGTTGAACTCTCAATCTTTCGGTCCAATCGCTCCTACAATACGCTTCACRAACCAACGGAAGACCTCGCTATATTCCCTTCTGTAGTCTTTGTGCAGGACGTACTATCGTTCTTGAATTTTACCATCCTCACCCGTTTCCTCAATGGTCTGTTAACGATGGGAACCACTTTCTTAGTAATGGGATCAATTGTTATGATATCTGTAGTATGTTTTTACTATTATTCTCTATATACAATGGCTTTGATTCTGAAATAAAATATAAGAAAAATGTCAAAATGATGATATTTTAGATGTTGTAATGAGAAAATGAATGGCAATGATAGAAAACAGTACAAACCCTAGAAAAGGGCATGAAATTTGTGCTGAGAAACGAAGGGTGTGAGAACATGTTCCAGGGAAAAGGGCCATGAGATTCTAATTTGAGCATCAAAAAACACACGCAGGAATTTGTTTTCATGCACACAGGAAACTTAAAACACCATTATATCGGTTTGTGTGACATAGAAACAATAAAAAGACTAAAATAGTTTTGACTATAATTGTTTCTCAAAGAGGATAGGGGGTCTGGTGGTGGATATTCAAGCAACTTTCCAATATGATGTTTTTTGTCGTAGAGTCGGTACTAGAGTTTTGAAGCATAAGAAACATTGTAGTAGTAAAACAATAAAGTTACGGGAATGAGATGCTACCTTAAATGATACTCAGCAAGAAAGTGGTTGCTGGTGGCATGCGACTAACTGATATCAATACAGCAGTGCTGACACCTTTGACTTCCACTGCCACCAAAGCAGACCAATCTTTTAGGACCACCAGTAAAATAGGGTCACAATGACACACTTAGTGGATTGGAGGAAGTACTTGTTTGAGTTTGAATTAAGACTATCAATTCCAAACAGGTTATGAGTACATAAAATGCGCCAGTTTTTTGCTAACTTTGCTTGCTTGTTAACTCAAGCAAAAGCACCAATCACAATTAGAGAATCCGTCAGTCGGAAAGGGTTTTCCCTCCTCTTTTGATACATGTCCATATTATATATATGTTTCTTGTCAGAGAACCTTTTTGGGCTTGTTGATTTCTGAGTGCACAAAAAATACAAAATTTTCTCATTTATTCAACCTCAACAAAGCAAGCTGTCACTCCTCCAGATCTTTATCAATACCCAACGAATTGCATTCACAAGACAAGTGTTACAATCCTTACAATAACAAGGGGAAGAGGATTGTGAAGTATTGGATTGATCAACTGAGTGGTTTACAAGAAACAGGAGACCTAAGCCACAGTGAAAAATTGTTGTGAAAACAGCAACGACGAAAGCCACAGTGTAACAAAAAAGAAACCATCTTCCCCTCAATAACACATACAACCAGTGTGCGGAACGACCTTAATACATCAAATTAGACTTGATCCGGAAGTATCGTCACGATCGACTGAGTATTTTGAAAGAAAAAGCAGTTTTTGCTGTATTTTTGCTGTATTTTGGCTGCAAAATGAGCAATAACAACAACAACACCAAGCCAGCGCCCCCCAGAACACCACMTGTACTCCCATCACCAGGTGGACTATCGATTTGGTCCATTATCAAGGGATGTGTGGAAACGCGTGCTGAATCAGGAGCAAATGTGCACCCCAAAAGAGCAAGCAGTTGGTGGATCAAGTGACCGAACCCAATACCAGAGCCTGTCAAGATGCGATTGCAGGGGTTAAATATTCAAGCCAGCACTTTATCGCAACAGGCGGTGAAACACGGAACACGAAAGATTACTTTATTGCAAAGGAAAGAACCTGGCGTTTAGATGAGATTCAACACTTGGAAGCAAAGAAGAAGGTTGCAAAAGCAGCACAAGTTTTGAACAGTAAAGCTCTTGGTTTCATTCAGAATTTTGCTTCAAAGGGAAAAGATGTTAAGAAGGATGAAGATGCAAAGATCCTCCCAGTTTCTACTCTTAAGATTTTGTGCCAATGGAAGCAGCAAAAGAAAATTCCTGCAAAGAAAGACAAGCTGTTGGAAATGTGGATGAAAGTGAAGAATGTCTCCACACCTCCACCATCAGCTTCTTGGACTGATGCTGATGAGG